CTATTTATTTAAGGATATATTTTTCCCATGATCTTATAGACAGTTCTCTGACATGGGGAGCTCATGGAAGGAAGTTCATTAGGAGTTAAACATGAGGAAGTGCACTAAAGCCCATTTACCTTGTACGGGAAAAACCAAACCCAACAACAAAGAATTATTATGTGGGGGAAAAAAAAAAAAAAAAAAAAAGAGCATTTGAGCCTTTCTGCAGCCTCATAAAAACCCTGCAGAAAGCCTGTAACTCTGCATGGGCAGATGTCCTCCCTCTCCTGTGCATTGTCTAATCAGAGGCCTTTCGGACTTAAATAAAATAATAATGCAAAAGCGAAGGGAGTGCCATTTCCATGGAAACTTGGAAGCAGATGTAACATTATTTGCACTGGGCCTTTGTACTGTGAAAGAAAAATCTTCCAGTTTACACAAATCTCAGCTATTATTTTCTTTGCAGTGCAAACTTGGGCCAAGTATTTTCTGTCATATTAAAGATGCAAATAATCAGTTTTACTTTCTGTCCAGTACAACCATGCACAAAAGCTTCAGAAGCTGCAGTAAAATGCCTGATATTTATCTTTCCATGAACCCAAACCAGATATTAGAAAAAGAGAATAATTTGGGCTTCCTTTTTGCTTGTTCTCTTCAGAAAGTGAAAACAGCTTAGAAAACATCTCCTGTTTATGTGTAATTTACAGATTAGTAGACAGCCAGAGCATTGGCACATGTGCTCAGTGTTAATGGGAGCTTAACTAACTCTTAATATTAGATCAATTAGATATTAATTCCTGGTCTTCCACACACTGCGAGAGTGCTTTCTAGCTCAGGAGCTAGATTAGTTACTTACAAAGAGCTTTCCCAACTATGAGTAAATTTCCAGCAAAGTACATTCGCAAGTCCAAAACCATGGCAATAACTCATGACCCGGTAACTGGCTTTGGAGACTAGAACACCTTCATCTCACTATGTTCTCAAGACCAGATAGAGCAACAACCAAGACAACATGTAGCAGTGCATACAAAGAACAGCATACAAAGCAGCTCTTTGGTGAACATATTTTCTCTTCACATTGTTACAGAAGTATTCTTTTCTGCATATTCTGAAGAGAAGAGAAAACATCTCTATGTTTTATGATAATGCAGGACTCACTTTTTACTTGTTTACAAGCTCTTTTTGCAAAGATGAATCTTGTCTTTGCTGCACATCTTAAGTGTAAATCAGCTACTCAGATTTGCTCTTCTCAAGATGAGGGAGCTCTGCCCTGCTCAGCAAGTACTCATGTCTTTTAAGTGGATCATTTGCTCATACATTACCAGAGCAATTTAGCAATCAAGCTAAATCTGGCAGCAAAGTCTAACACATGCCTAAAGAAAAACAGAACTTTTGGTGAAAATGAATGTCCTGTTTTGTTTGCAGAGCAGCCAAATGCTTTATACATTAGACCCTTCTGCCACCACAGAAATGTCCAGCATCTGATTTATCTATTATTTTAGACATATCACTGTAGCAGATTTTTCAGTTGCGTTAGTCTGTGTTTGCATTACAGGCATGTATGCTAGCTGTGTTCATTTTCCCTTCACTGAAGATTTGTAGAACTATACCAGACTTTGTGGAAATTAAGCTGGTATTGTAAGTAGGATAAACCAAATGATCTCTCATTTTTACAGCTACAAGGATGTCCATTGCTGCAGCACATAAGATGATAAAAACGCACCAGAATCACAGAGTTTACATTGCCATTTATATAATCAATGAAGTGACTTTTATCTTACTTATGAGTTTCCAACCTCGCTCTCTTGCTACTCCTTCCTCACCCAGCAGCGGAAATAACTGTTTCAGTACAGAAATTAACTTTGAACAACACAGGCCCTAGTTCTCTAGCTGGGCTCCCCTAAGCATTGAGCCTCATGTGGGAATGGTAACACAAGTGGTCTGTAAAACTTTGTCTCCCTTACAAGCAGCTGTTCAGTCAGCGCAGTGTTGGAGCTACGATCATTACATGACAGCTCAGGGGACACCTCTGCTAATGTGGTTCCTGACCTGTACTATTCACAAGTGAACAGTAGGAAGTATTCTTACAGGTATCAAGTAGGAACAGTCAAGTGCTCTACTCTAAAATAGTCTGGAGCATGGTGCCTGCATGCCCGTCTGCTCACCTACAGTAACTGGGTGCTGCACAGCAATGCATGTCCCTTTCCACTCTTGGACATGCCTTCTACAGTGAAGAACTTTCCTGCAGGAGATTCAAGTCTCTAGGGTTGAAACATAGGTGCAGTTTGTGACTTTATCTGTGCAGAAGATTTTAGTTGTCTTTAATTGAGGTAACAAACGCAGTGACAACATCAAGCACCTGCTAAAGAATCACAACAAAAGTGCAAAACAGTTGTCTGATAGGGACTGACCTAGTCCTGCCCTAAAAATCCTGGCTGTACTTGAGAGACATTGTTTAAGGCAGGGGACTGCTTAATAAGGATTTGATCTTTAAGACAGATTTCATCATAGGCTGACTGACAAAAGCTTTCTCCTTAGAAGTTCACAGGCAATTCAAAATGTCATGTTGATTTTATACCTGCCTGGTCAAGTGAAATTACAGAGCAAGTCAATCACCTGACTTTTCACATGTATTTCCCCTTTTACATCTTGAAAATTCTACGCACTCACTTGTAGATCATACAAAGAAAGAGGAAGCAACATGACTCAGCTCCACGCTACAATGGCTGGAGCAGATCCAGACCTAGCAATCCTTTGGGCTTTCCTCACCAAAATACAAATCTGCAGTTTGGATAACGTAAAGCATCCAGTGTTGTAGAAGAAATGTTAGATGGGCAGCAGGCCAGCAGCAGTCCTAAAGCAATATACTAGTTCTTTACTTTGGTGGAAAACTACCTTTTGAGGAATTAGGAAGGGAACAAAAAAAGCTAAAGGGCTCTGACCTTAAACAGTGCCTACAAAAGATACTGAAGAGGAACAACCTCCTGAAATGTATTACATAGACATGAATTTACACGGAAATCTAGTGGTAGATAACTTATTAATTTAGCAAGTTTCACATGATGCCATACTGGCAAATATTTTTGTATGATCTCTAAATCAGAGAAGTCACAACAGAGGCATAGGAAAGCTACTGACCTTAAGGAATCCAGGGATTTTGAGCAAGTTTCAAGAACCCTGAATCCCAGTGCTTTGTCTAAACTGCTGGAAAACAGTACTTTAAAAATTAGTTACTCTAAAAAGTCAGCGTCATCTAAAAATAATTCCTGATCCTTTACCATTCTGCTAACACCTGATCCACAGATGTTTTTCCTAAAGAGCATCCAGCTGGCGAGTTATTGCAGAGTAAATAATGCACTGTAAACACACTTGACTTCACTGTGCAAACAAGCTCTGAGCAAAATTCAGCAAGAACTTCACTTCAGTTTGCTCCCTGAATGCACAACAAAGATGATTTGATGTTTATCTCATAGCACTCTAACCTCAGAGATAGAGACCTCAAATCTAAACCTGTTTCTTTGAACAGTGGTGTAATTCCGGTCCATGCCCTGGAGCTGTGGGCAATAGGATGGATCTGTCTTTTCAGGCACTTTATTCACTAGAGGAAACCGTGTATAAATATGTGTAGTAATAGCAATGAAAGTAACAAAGAAGCATGATCCAAGCAACTTCTCTGAACAGCCTCACCTTCCTACAGAGCAAACCAAAGCATTACTGGCAAAAAGCAGTGTGTAGTAGGGAGTGACTGAGCAGTTCAGGAACCTCACATCACATACTAAGGTTAACGGATGAAAGGCCAGTGCACTTCTGCATGGTGCATTGAGCAGTCTTTATGCTTAGCAAAGCTTAGCAGCTTTTTTGCTTATACCTCCCCAAAATGTTTTGGGCGTTGTCGTATGATTGTACTACAAAACTTTAAGTTATCCAAAACCAGTTCATGAGAAGTGAACGGAAACATCTCTTTTCATTCCAAAGGAAAACAACTCCTATGCTGTTTTTGTAACTGAGCTGAAAACTTGGAGAGAAAACCTAAAGCTAAAAAAAGCAAAGAACTCCAAAAGATTCATGTTCTGGACTGTGGTTTCTGTTGCCTTAGCTCAAGGGAAAATATGTTCATGGGAAAAGGGCCTGCCTGGAGCCAGATTTTTTTCAACTCTAACTGTCCTAGTTGGTGTGGCCTTAAATCAGTATGTTTCTGTTAAAGCTATTTTTTCACAAATATTCTGTATGGATTGTATAATGGCTGTTTATAATTGAAACAATCACTTGTACTGTGTTTCCTAGCAATCAGTATCTAGTTCAGCTCCTATGAACCCTACATAAACAGGGACTGGACAATTGAAGAGGCCTTTACAATGTTAATTCCGAGTTTCACTGATTCAAAGCATTTAATCGCTTGCCCAGAAGACAGTTCCTGAACTAATGTCAAAAAAAAGAAGTCTCAGCTTTATCACCTACTTTTGCATATACACACAACTAAAGAAAACAACATCACACCTTAGAAAAACCAGAACTTTTACATGGCTTAAATTGACGGAATCTTACTAACATGTTATTATGGACTGTCTTTAATAATGCAATTCACTTTTGTCTTTAGCCAGGACTAAACCAGATTATAAATATAACAGAATTCCACACCAACCCTGCAAAGACTCACCTACAGACAAAGCTGCCAAAGGCAATGCAGAGAATTTACAATTGTCTCTATAACACTGCAACAAGTGTCAGAGGATGTGATCATGCTGCCCAAACACACTGTGCCAAATCCCAACAAGTGTGTTTATCGTTATTCTCCATGCTGTATCAACAGAGCTTAATATAGGGATTATGATCATCATTACACCCTTGAATTGTCTTCTGCATTGATCAGATTTATGTTAAGAGCTAACACAAATATCTAATATAGTCTTTTTTAAGTTTCCTCAAGACTTTTTAGTCTCTCACTCAACTTTAAAGTGAACATTACCCCTCCCATTTAAAACTGCAATGAAATTATGTTGTAAATGAAAACGTGTTACCTGTGATCAATGATTGTTACATTGGAAGCAGGAATCCCCAGAAGCAAACAGCTCTGTTCCAATTCTTTCTTACGAATCTCTCCTTGATTGTAGTAATTTCCTGAAAGTAGAAAACACAGCAACGCCATCAAACTTAGTTAAGGTTGGCTTGGAAAGAGTTCCTCTTTTCTTTCTCAAAGCTTTAAGTGTGAGCATCACACATGAAATAAAAGAGCAACAGATAAATTGCAGGGAACAAACTCCACCGTTTTTGCCTGAGCAACACCCAGCTTAGCTCAGGGTAACTGCTGAGATGACAGGAAGCCTGACCCATGCTGTGTTTAAGTGACTGAAGCTTACAATAGTCTGGACCACTTCTTATGAGCAGCAGTTGTCATACAACATTATGACACTGTAACAGAATACAGTGATAGAATGAAAAAGACTTGAGGAAAGGAGGAATTCCATCATAACAATCTCTGGTTTAAGACAAAGATTTTTCAGCATCATTCACACAGGAAATTCAGGAAGAAATTAAAATGGTAAGACTGCAAAGAACTTAGAGAACCAAAACACAGGAAACCTAATTTGGGTAAGGCATTTGGGAAAAGTTATAACAGACTGCGCTCAACAACAAGCAGGGAAATGGTATTCATGATCTTTATACATCACCTCTTTCCTCACTATTTTCTTCTCACCTTGCCCTGACAGTCCCTTATTTTTTCTTGGCATCAGCCATGCAAAGTCCATGCCAGAGCTGTGATGGCCCCTTCCAGAATGCTGGCCTGTGCGGGGCAGTACTTGCAATCCAATTTTAACTTTGAAGCAATAAAATGAACAAAATACAGCTGAGAATTAATGTATGATTCAAGTCTTGAATTGCACTGTAACTTCTTATTGTTGCGGGTGTGAGTCATCCAAATCCAGCATTTCTCTCAAGCAGCGTTGCAATCTGATCCATCACTAGCAAGCTTTGTCAAATGTTCAAAGAGGGAGAGTAACTAGAAAAAAAAAACCACCACCTCTTCCTGCAGACTCTGAGTGAATGGTTTTAGATGACTATGGCAATGATTATCTGTGGGTTTGCTGAGGAACACACTAGGTCCATAGCCTGCAGCTTAGATTGCAAGTTCCAGCTTCAGTAAATTGAAGTGTGGGCACCTTCACTGGATGGATTACTGAGTACAGGCAGGACTTACTTTAGATTGACTTTTTACAATGATACTATTGATTTTTTTAACAATACTAGTGATTTAAGATAACATAGCTTTTGCTGCAATGCACTGTAAAAGCTGAGTGCAGGTGATGTTTTATCCAAATAGTACCCCTGCTCTCAAAATCCCTCACTTCTACTGAACTCAGGGAACATATCTGTGTTCCACAGCTTGAGAAATGTATCAGGACATCAGGAATAGACAAATGTTAACATGAAAAAATGGGAAGCTATTGAGAGCAAAACCAGCTGATGCTGCTGGACCTCATCCATGGAGCACTCGCAACAGTCAGTTACTACAGAGAGCAAAGCACATTTAGAATGAGTAATTATTTCAATAGAAGATTATTCAGCATGTAAAAGACTTTTTTTTTCCCATGGTGCTGCAACTCTAATTCATTTCTAAGTAGTTTTGATTGACATCTGAAAACTGCAAGCATGATGGTTTCTAAGTAATGATTTTATTTCAATGTTACAATTTGCAGTCTTTGATCAATGCACTTATCATCAATCACACCAACAGTGAGAGGATGAACCATCTGAATCACCCCAAAGACTAATTAGAGGCATGGAAAAATCTATGAGCTCAATGAATGTACTCTCCTATATGAGCTGCTAGCTTTGTTACAGAGATACACAAGAGAGTACATAGAAGGCAATGTCCAACACACTTAGAAGTTTCACAGTGCTGAATCAGGAGTAAAAGAAAGTTTAACAAAATAAACAGAAGCACAACATGTCTTTGGAAAGTTCTCTAATAGCAGCAGTATATTAGTGCCCCACACTGAAATGGCAGAGTTGCACTTCAGTAATCTCTCCATAGCTGTGAAACAGCCAAATGGGATCCACAGACCTTTGTCCATCAGCAAAGACAACTGAAAGCTCTGCACTAAATCTTGAATGGGAGGTACAGTAAAGCCATGACACCACAGGACTTCAACAATAGCTTAATCCCTGTCTTCTCACCTAGATGGTTTGTTATGACAGAAAGCTTTGAAAAGCAAGAACAGGAAAGTTGGCAGGGAACTAGCTGGAGCTTTCAAAAACCTCAGAGGGCCCTTTTCCCAAATGTAAGTTGCTATCAGAGCAAGACGTAAATGTTTGGAAGCCCAAGACAGTCCTCTCAACAAGCATCAAACCAGTACCTTTACTTTTCATAGCAGGCTCATAATTTCTGGTACAGCAGTATGGTGTGAAAGGTAATTAAAATGAGATTGTTTCTTAGGCACAAAAAGCTGAACAATGTAATAACTGATTAAGTATCTGCTCTGCAGGGAAAAAAAAATAATCTTCACAAGAAGAACATAAGACTGCTACATGCAGTGAAAAACTGTCTTGGGCAAGTAAGAATCTTCCCATTCTATTCAGCCACAGAAAGGCCTCAGCAGGAGTACTGCTTCCAGTTTTTGACTGCGACACTTCAAAGCTGTGAACCAACTGGAAGAGTCCAAAGGACAGCAATGAGAATGATGAGAGGCTTAGAAAACCTTATATATAAGGAAGAATTGCAAGAAATAGGGTTGTTTAGTCTGGGGGAGATAAGACAGAAAAGGCAGATAACAGCGTTAAAATATGTAAGAGACTGCTACAAAGGGATACCTTGGTTTCCATGTTCACGGCAGACAGGAAAAATAAACAGATGAACTTAAATTCCACCAATGATTCAGGGAAAAGTGATCTGAAGAAAAGCTAATACCTCACTTACTCGGCCTGCACAGGCTGAGGAACCTCCCTGTAAGTTCTGTAGAACAAACAAGACGTTTGTCTGCAGCACTTGAAGAGACATCAGCGCTGCATCAGACTGACGGACAGCATGACCTCAGGCTTCCTTCAGGGCTATTTTTCCATTATTAGAGCGTTACACAACTTAGTAATTTTTAGATGAGTTCCAGCAAATATATCATTATGATATTAAAACTGGATCAACAAAGTAAGTCCTCTGCAAGATGATGGAAATACAGATGTCAAAAAGCCATGCTGAACAGCACCTTTGTATAACATACTGACCCTCCCACACAGTTTGGAAGTGCCTAGGCTTGAATTGTGAAACCTCTGCGTGAGGCTCAGGTGTAGAGGAAGATGTCACTGCTGATACTCTGCAGAAAGTAACATTCTGACTAAAGCTGCCCATCTGTGGTAGCTCTCCAAGAAGTGCGGGATGTTACACCACCACATCACAAGCTGGAGCCATGACATCAAATCGCAGGTGGATGACACATCACCTTCTCCACCGTGATTCTATGGATATCCTAGAATCAGACTGGTTTGGGTTATAAAAGACCTTGCAACTCCTATAGTTACAACTCCCTGCCTTGGGCAGGGCCACCTTCCACTAGACAAGGTTGCTCCAAGCCCCGTCCAACCTGGCCTTGAACACTGCCAGGGATAGGGCAGCCACAACTTCTGTCATGCGGTGATGGCAGCACAGACCTAAAAGACCGTGAGGTTCAGCACAGCACTGGCATCACATGCCTGCATCCAGCCAGTGGGTGACCCCACGGTACAGCCCACACACACAGCGTGGAAGACATCATGGCGGCCTTCCCATGACGTCACGGCGGGAAGCCCGGTCTCCACCTTGGCCGGTGCCCCGCCGTTCCCGGCGCGTTCCCCCGCTCACCTGCGGAGCAGCACAGCACCGCGGCGCGGGCACCGGCCCTGCCCAAGCCGAGCACCGTAGGGGCGAAGAACATCGCTTCGTCATCAGGGTGCGCCGTCACTACCAGCGCGCGGACGCCACCCGCCCTTCCCCTCAGGTCGGCGCAAGCCCCGCCGGCCACGGTAAGGCACCGTAGGCGGCGCGCGCCACCGAGCAGCAGCGCGAGCAGCACCAGCACCGCCACCGCGGTCCCCCAGCCCCACGGCCCCGCTGCCATAGCGCCCCGAGCCGCACTGCTCCGGCCAAAAACGGAAGATGCGGCTGAAGGGTTCCGGCCTACAAAAGGGCCTCCCTCTCCCTGCACTCCGCCTCTTCTCCCCGCCTCGGGGCGGGGTCGCTTGGCCGCTACCGCGGAAACGTGCCCCGGCTCTACCGTTCCAGGGCGGCCGCGGAGGAGGGGCGCAACCGGGAGGTCTTTCGCTGCGCTGCCTTTGCCGGGCCTGGCAACGCTGTTCGAGCAGGGCCTATTCCCGTGGGGAGAGCTGCCGTTGCCCGGGCCTTGCAGCGCGCCAGCCGCCCGGAAATAATAGCTACTAATGATAAAAGCTGAGCTTTTCAGCGTGTGGTACCTCTGATCCCTGCGCTGTGCTGCTGTGGAAGAGGCGCAGCCTCAAAAGCAGGGCAAGAGGAGCTTATCTTTAGGCACGTTCTGCTATCGGCAGACCTGGCTGTGCTAAGCCTGGCTGTAAGGGTGAAAAAAAAAAGTGTTCGGATACATCTTGGAAGTGAAGTCAACCACGGGAGAAGGTTGCAGAACAAAAAGAGACAGGAAATAGATAAACATGAAAAAATGGCAATAGGATACACTGTGGCTTGGAAACTTCGCTTTTCCAGACAAACGGCCAATATGGAAGACAATGTGTATGCCAGTTGAGTGGGTTTATAGAATAAAATGGTGAAAATTATGCAGAGAAGTTCAGGATCTGAAGAGCAGCTGAGAGCTCACAAGATAAATGCCTGACTTGTCTTCACAGACTTTTATTCGGACACCTTTAACTTCCAAGTGGAGAAAGGCAGGCATCAGCATGTGCTGGGATTAAAGGCTGCAAATCTTTAACGTGAAGTGTTTGGAGATGTGTCACGTCACCTTAACGTAGCACTACATGAGAGTAGATCTTGGCTGCTGTAGTAACTACATACTTAATACAACATATGTTTCATAAGTAATCCCATTTGCCACAGGACGAGCCCCTGCTTTATTAATCTGAATAAATGTGGGGGCACACATCCTGCAAATGTGGGATAAGACTTCTCATATTTAATGGAAACTGTACCCATGAGGTAATTTAATCTTGCCTAATGCTCTTTTTCACCATAGCAAACCTGGTAAGAGATGCATTTGTGATTTTAGAACACCTGAGATTACATATTAGCACGTAAAACGCTACGCAGATTTGAAATGCACTGAAAAAGCAGGGAACAGTTCACATACCCCTCATTCGTGGGGAAGAATAAAAATGATTTTGCGATTTTAAACCTCTCACATTATTCTGGAGTCACCCGTCGCCAGCGGCACAGGCTCGGCGGCTGGGACGCGCGGGAGCCCTGCTGAGGTGCTTCAGGCCGAGGGGCGGGAAAGGCGCAGCGGGGCCGGACGCCCCCCGAGGCTTCGCTTGGGGTCCCGTCCAGATTCCTGTCCCCGGCTCCTGAGACTCCATTCATTCGCACGGCCGCGGCCTACCGGCTCCGCGGTGTCCCCTGCGCCCCAGCTCTGGGCTGGCGGGACCTGTCCGCCTCAGCGCCGACGCGCCCAGCGCTCGCCTCATGGCGGCGCCTCCAGCCCCCCCTCCCCCTAGCCCCTCTGAGGGGAAGGGGAGGGAACCCTTCGCCGCCGTACCGACCAGCGGGTCCTGGAAGGAGCAAACCAGCCTGCCCTCTTATCGCCGGCCCGCCCGCGGCTTCTCGCGGCCTGGCGCTGCCTGGGCACCAACGTGCACCGGCATGGCGGGAGGAAGGAACGAGCTCCAGCGGTCGGTAACAACCACCGAGCCGCGGCGCCGCCGTTTGTTCAGTAGCTGCCAGGACCTGGCGCGAGGGGGCGGAGCGCACCGAGCCGGGGGAGGGGAGGCAAGATGGCGGTGGCGGTGGCGCTGAGGTTGAGGTGAGACGCCGCGGCCGTCCGGCCCCACCACAGCCTGCCGCCCGGGCCGCCCCAGCGCCGCGCCGTCGGTAAGGGCAGAGGGCCCGGAGGGGCGGCGCGGGGGGGCGGCGAGGCTCGGGGGCGCAGTGGGGCCTAGCGCCTCCGCTGTGAGGAGGAGGAGGAGGAGGAGGAGGGGGAAGAGGCGGGGGCCACGGCCATCCCTTCCTCCTCCCTCCTCACCGGGGAGAGAACCGCTCTCGTCCCCGGGGGGGAGGGTGCCGGGGCCGGGGGGGAAGGGGTTCCGTGAGGGAGCCGCCGGGAATGGGGAAGGGGGGCGGACCAGGTGCGGGCTGGGGCGGGGGTGCCCGGTGCCCCCGGGGTTTGTTCTCCGTTTGCGCTGTTTGTGTGCGAGGAGGTCCGGAGGGGACCTGAGGCAGCCGTGAGGGATGGCCCTTGAAGGAAAGTTTTTTGAGAAATCCCAGGGCATCAGTGTGTTGGCCATTTGGCCATTCATCCCTGTAGTAGGACAAGTGCAAGTTAAAACAAAATAAACTATTAATAATGATAAAAAAGGGCTAGTTCTTAAAAATCGGCCACTTGGATGCTCGGCCAGGAGTGCGCTAGTTCCTGAAGATGTCTTGCTGTCCGAGCAGTGTTGGAGGTGCGTCGCGGCTGCCTGCTCCATCCAGCCCCACGCTGAGGTTGTCAGTAGTGAGGAGTTGTTGCTGATGCAGATGCTGAATTATCCATATAGGACCTGTAAACATCCCCAGCTTCTGTCAGCTCTGTTGGAGGGCACAATGGAAGTGGCTTTTTCTAGAATTATTCTGACTTGATGGTATAGAACTTTGTACTTACTGATTTTTCTGAACTTAAAAATCTGTGGGTATCAAGTGCAATGCAGTTTGTCAAGATTCTAGATGGATGTATCGGCTGTTAGTGTCAGACAGGCTCAAGTAAATAAGTAGTCTGAACAATCTATTATCCAAAACCTGTTTCTTCTTTTTTTACAGATATAGTCTTAACAAGCATGTTACCTTTTTATGACTGTAAATATTGATGTGACCTAAGACAACTTATTACAATGAGAAGGGGATGTCTCATTTTGAGGACTTGCTTTTGTGGCAGCATTCTTGTATTATGCAGTATTTTTAGGTACAGCACTGTAGTTATGAACTGCTAGAGCCCAGGTAGGGATTTTTATCCTAGGCAGTACGATTCGAGGGGAAAAAAACCCAGTGCTATTACAAAAAAAAAAACATTACTACTGTAAGATGACCATAGGCAGAGCATAAATGCCTGAATAAGTGGACACATAGTGTTATCTCACTGCACATGAGGACTGTGCAGATCTGTTGCAGTTTTGCACTGGAATTATATTCTGCAGAATTTTGTTATTCCTGATTAACTAAACAACCTTGACGTTTGGAAAAGAAGTATGTAATATCTGAAGTGGATTTCTAGTTAGCTGAAACCTAGGGCATGAAAGACCTTCGTGCTTATCCCAAGGACTGCTAAGTTGAGAGGAAATAAAGCCAACTACAGCAACCCTTTTTGCAAAAGCATAGTTAATTTTTATTGACATCACTTTTCTTTGTGATATAGTATAGGCTGCTAAGGAAAAAGGTTCAGCTGTGCTTTATATGCAGTATAATTTGCCTATTTGAAATATACTGTTTGATATTGGTTACTAAAATAACTAAACTTGTTACTGAAACATAGGAAAGAGCATGGAACCTTCTTTCTAGGAGTGTTTTTTAAGGGGTGGAGAGGATATTACAAGTGTTTTCTTCCACAAGTGATACTTCTCTCTAGCTTGTTAGTTACTGTAACAATCAATTAAAAGCAACTCTCCAGGTCAGAATTAGCTGCACAAAACCAGAGTATATTGATGTTCCTACACTGCTGCTGAGTTATTTTAAATATACTTTATTTCCTACAACCATTCATTTTACTTGTTTTTCCTGGGCACACAAGTGTTTTGTTGTGCTCTAAAGAGACCTAGAAAACTCTTTCAAAAACTGTGATAAAAGTAGGAACAGGCTCTAAAGCTTCCTTTCAGTTTCCCCCCTCTAGTGCTCTTCCACGGTTCTTGTGGTTCTCTAAGAGCATCTTATAAGTTATTTTATTTCTCAGTTACAGCATGAGTGAGAGATGCTCATGGGGAGGGGAAGCTGACTCTGCTTCGACTACTGTTAAGTGCATAAAAGTAAATGAAAAAAAAATCTTCTGTATTGACAGAACAGTATTTTCTTTTTATTTTTCTCTTTATTATGTTCTTAATGCTGGCATTTCACTCTTGGAGCTCTCAGCCAAAGTTTGGTGAAATGTTTTATTCCTCTTCTTTTATATTTGCCTAAAAAAGGTTTACTTGCATGGTCAAAAGTACTATTTGGAGTTCTAGTGTGCTAAGCTACTCAAATTTGAGATTTTAGCAGTTGTTTAAGCTGAAGGGGATCTGTGCCTCATGCAGGTGCGCTGCAACACAGGACAATCTTGAGAATAGACTTATAACCAGACAGTGGTTTCAGAATGCAAACAAGCGTTTCCTGGATGCCAGTCTTGAACTCTTCAAGTCATTTATGTTCTCAAGTCAAATCTGAATCAGTGTTTCAGATAACAAGCTATTAAGTGAATGTGTTACCTTGTCTCTACTGTAAAAGTTGCAGATAAAAACTCTGACCCGTGCAGGACTGCTGTCTGTAAATATTTACTTTCTGCTACTTCTAAAATATACAAATAGCAAGGAACATGCTGAATGTGTCTTCCATTTTGTTTTTTCTGTCTTTCAATGATTTTCTAACCTAGTTGATTCTATTCTATGATTCTAATGATGTTTTGTGATGTTCCCTTCCTCTTCCGTTCTAGTTCAGTGTTTATCCACCATCTGTTAAATGACAACTGCAGTCTGGGCCTACTGGAGCTTAAGTTTAGTGAGTTGGTGTGCATACAGAAAGCTCAGTCTTACCTTGGAGCTATGTTTCTTCCCAGTATCCTAAGAGAGATTTCTATGTCTTTAAATGGATTCACATTTAAACCACTCATGTAACATTGCCACTCCCAGACCGATTTGATATGCAGTTTTTTAATTCAAGTTTAAGCAGGATGTTGATCTGTGTGGTTTTGAAGTGAGTGACTTTACCTGCTTGTGATTACAAAGGATATTGCAAGATTAAGATACTGTATTGGTACAAAGATGGATCATCC